GAGGAAAATATCCGCGATCATATTGTGGTCGGGATACGAGACAAGGACTTCTCCCGCAGGCTACAACTGATGAAGGACCTCATGTTGGCACAAACGACCCAGATCATCAGACAGTCAGAGGAGTGTCCAAAAATTGGACACTGGGCCAGGGTGTGTCGTAACACCAGATCAGTGAATGAGGTTACAGAGACAGAGAAAAGCAAGCAGGCCTCATATTTTCTAGGCTCAGTGTGTAATGCAAAAGGAAATAGCGAAACATGGACTGTGCAGTTACTGCTAGACTCTGCCCCAATAGAATTTAAGATTGACACAGGAGCAGATGTCACTATCATAAATGAAGATACGTTCCACACACTTGCTCATAAGAGAACACTAGAGCCTTCTAATCTCCCTCTAGATAGCCCCGGAGGAGAGCTGTTATGTCTCAGCTACTTAAAGGCCACAATAAGTTATAAAGGCAAAGACTACCTGTCCAAGGTGTATGTGGTTCGTGGACGCAGAGTTAACAACCTTCTCAGCCGCTCCTTGTCAGTGCAGATGAACCTGGTGAGAAGAATTGATGAAGCAACGATCACACTCACCAGGAACCAACCACTTTACGGTGAACACGGACAACCAAAAACTGAACCAGTCAAAATTCAGTTAAGGGACGATGCTGTGCCATACGCAGTGCATACGGCACGCCGTGTGCCTTTCCCCATGCTGCAGAAAGTGAAGGAGGAACTACAAAGAATGGAGAACCATGGTGTCATTGAGAGGGTGACCCAACCTACCGGATGGTGTGCCCCAATGGTGCCTGTCTTGAAGAAGAACACAGCAAGGGCCAGGATCTGCGTTGATCTGACAAAAATGAATAAGTCTGCCAAAAGAGAGCGCTATATCTTGCCTACCCGCCCCACTCAACCATGTTCAGGTTGAGTGGGGCAACGGTCTTCTCCTTGCTGGATGCAGCCAGTGGATTTTGGCAGATCCCATTGCATCACGAGAGTTGCAAACTAACGACATTCATCAGGCCATTTGGCAGGTATTGCTTTAAGAGGCTGCCCTTTGGGATAACAAGTGCACCAGAGATCTTTCAGCGAAAGATGGTGGAGACCTTAGAGGGGCTCGAAGGTGTGGAGGTCTTTATGGATGACATCCTGGTCTATGGGGCCACCATGGAACAACACGACACCTGACTTGAGGAGGTGCTGCAGCGCATTGAGTTAGCCGGATTGAAGCTCAACCAAGAGAAGTGCTCCTTCAGACAGAGCCAGCTTTGCTTCCTAGGGCACCTGATCGACTATTCTGGGGTCAGGCCAGACCCTGAGAAAGTGAACGCCATTCTTCAGCTGCCGTCACCAGAAAATGTGCAAGAGCTTAAAGGGATCCTAGGAATGGTTAATTACCTGGGCAGATATATTCCTGCTCTTGCCACAGTATGCCAGCCACTGTACGAGTTGCTTAAAAGCAAAAACAGTTGGACCTGGGGTCACCCACAGCAGGCAGCCTTCGAGAACATTAAGAGAGCGCTTACATCAGCACCTGTTCTTGCCTTCTATGACGTCAACAGACTCACAGCCGTATCTGCCGACGCCAATAGCTACGGACTTGGGGCTGTGCTGCTTCAGCTTCATGGCGCAGAGTGGAAACCTGTTGCCTACTGCTCTAGACGCCTCACGGAGGCTGAAACACGCTACGCACAAATCGAAAAGGAGTGTTTGTCAAGTGTTTGGGCCTGTGAGAAGTTTGATAAGTATCTATGTGGCTTAGATCGCTTCAGGCTTGAGACCGACCATAGACCTTTGGTGCCCCTGGTCAACAGCCGGGACCTTGACAATGTTCCATTGAGGTGTCAACGCCTCCTGATGAGGCTCATGAGGTACAAGCTGGAGGCCGTCTATGTCCCTGGCAAAATGCTTGTCATCGCCGATACGTTGTCACGGAGTCCACAGACTTGGGCTGAGGATGACACTAGCACTTACACTGAAGTGGACTGCTACATAGCCACCGTGTTACAGGGCATTCCAGCGTCCCCAAGCCGAATGGAAAGCATTAAAGCAGCCACTGCAACGGATGTTGAACTACAGACTGTCATCACGTACATACATGAAGGGCACCAAGGCCTCACCAAGTGCAGGGATAGGGCTAATTCATTCTTTAGCTCCACTGAGCTAAAGAGTGCTGCAGTGCCACACATGTCTGGCACAGAGGCCAACACAGACAAGGGAGCCGCTCATCTCCACACCTTTGCCGGATCGTCCATGGCAAAGGATAGCCCTGGATCTCTGTGAACACAACCGGAATAATTATCTTGTTGTGTCGGACTACTACTCACATTTTCTGGAAATACTGCACCTACCATCCACGACCAGTGGCCAAGTTGTTCAGAAACTGAAGTCGACCTTTGCTAGGTTTGGGATCCCTGACGAAGTGGTGAGTGACAATGGCCCTCAGTTCTCCAGCTCTGAGTTCCAGGCCTTCGCGAGAGAGATGGATTTTGCCCACATAACGTCTAGTCCCCACCACCCACAGGGAAATGGTCAAGCGGAGAGGGCAGTACAGACTGCAAAGAAAATCCTCCGGCACAATGACCCACTGATAGCACTAATGGGCTTTAGGTCTACTCCCTGTACCACTACAAGCTTCAGCCCAGCAGAACTTATTATGGGGAGGAAGATCAGGACAACCCTGCCTACCTTGGAGAAGAATCTTCAACCCAAATGGCCAAACAAAAGAGAGGTTAAACGAAGGGATGCTGGTCAGAAGGCCAAGCAGGCGTTCTACTACGACCGCCGCCATGGTACTAAGCCCCTACCTCCACTCCATCCAGGGGATGCTGTCCTAACTACGCTGGACAGGGAGAAGGCTTGGGCAACACCGGCCATCATCTCCAAGGAGAGCGTCACTCCGAGGTCCTATCTCGTTGCCACACCCCAAGGTGCGGTGCTGCGACGGAACCGCCGTCATCTCCACCTCGAACCATCTCCACGGGCTATGCCAAAACCCCTTCCAACACCCACTGTGGACACTGAGGAGCTGCCATCTCAGTGCGCTGGTGCGTCCACTCCAGAGACCCCAGCTTCGGCCCCTAGTCTGGCCCCAACGCTTGCACCCATTCGCGCCGACGTACCGGATCAGTTACGCATGAGGTGCGGCCGGGTACGCAAGCCAGTCAAGAGGCTGGATCTGTAGACACTGGGGTAATGGGAGAGAAAGAAGGACGGTGGAGTGGGAATGTTGTATTGTTGCTGTTTTGCACTTATGTTTTGACCTGCAACCAATACTGCTGTTACCTGGTTGAGTTAATTACCTTAAAGGTTTACCATGTTTAATAAGTCCTGTTTTGTGGACACTGCCCTTCAGGCCGACAGTAGGCCAGTTGTGCCCGGTCCTTAAGAGAACCGCCCAGAGGCTATTATAGTGTCACATGTTATCATTGTGTCGTTGCTGTTCTATTTGGGGTTTGTTATTGGAAATAACATGAAAAGGGGGGGAGATGTCATATACTGGGTCGCCTGTGTCGAGCGGGTGGGCGTTGCAGCTTTATGCCACCATGACATGCTTTGCGGCAGGGCTGTCTATGTGCAGTTCTTCTCTTAGCTGCCACACCCGTTGCTGTGCTGTTATAACCCATGCTGGATACATGTTCAATAAAGCAGCATCACAAGAAAGCTACCGAGTGGTCATTCTACAAACACCATGTTTGCTACTGCAGAATTCCCCCTATCTGCAGCTGGAGTCTATGGCAGCACGTGGAAATATGCTATACAAAAAGCTGCCAAACAGGAAGCAAATGTTCCACAGATTCAGCATCACTTTGTGGGACTGTTCTAAAGAAAATGATATCATTTGTCCTCTAGAGGGCACTGCAGTAAGTAGAAACATGTTTTTGCCTATCAGTGCTCTTTTCTGCTCAGTTGTTTTTTTATTGTGTGCACCTCTTGATGTCACCGTCTGTTTACACAGTGTTACTGCCTCACTACAACTTCCCTGCTGTCAGGTACAATTCATCTCTATTTCAGTGTTGTCCCCTTTACTGTCTGGTGAGGCAACACTGGAAAGTCTCACATACAGAGTGTTCAATAAAGAAGCGTCACTCTCTTATAAATTATGAAAATATGTGTTTTTGTCTTTGGTAAATTCTGCTTTTCACAGTGATTTTATAAATATCTTTAGGCTGATACCAGTACAGGACTTTCAAAATCAGTACTGGGTGGTGGTCAAAGGTGTAGGAGAAAATCTTTAAGTGGAAATAAACCAAATTCATATAAGGTATGTTTTGGATTTATGGAAGGACTACCAGATTACTGATTTGCAGTAATTACTGATAGGTATAAAGAGACCAGTTTTTAGCACCCATCACCTCTGTCATTCAGCAGTATGCTGTGTGAGCTTAGTTTGTATGGAGCATCAGCCTTTTCCATCTCTCCAACCAGTTTCTTCCATTTATCCAGTTCAGGGTAGGTGGTTGGAATCTATCCCGGCTGTCATAGTGTGAGAGGTGGGGTACCCCTTGTTTACTCTTTGGACAAACAGGGTCAACTCTAACCACAGCAACAGGAGAAGTTGAAGTACGAAAATTTTCTTCAGTTCATCGAACTGAACTGAAGAAGCTTCTCGGATGAGATGTGAAACATCTTCAAGAAACTTGAAGAAGTCAAGACACTGTTCTTTCCAAGCTTCTTAGAATATGATGACCTGTTGAAGTTGAAGTACATTTATTTGACCTTTAAATACAAAGTATGATCACAAGTATGGGAAGCTAAAAACTCAAAAACTTTAACTGAGTTAAATTTGGTGCATTCAGCCTCATCTCTTCTCGGAGAGGTACTAGTACAGCTTTAACCTCACTTCATCCAAGACATGTAGTGCCCTTTTGTACGTTGGTCAACTATGACCTCTCCCTGGAAGTCCACTTCTGACCACTTGCACATTTTCAGTGTGGGATGGGTCTTGAACACAGCAATAAAAAGCTGAATCTTCAACTTAAATTTCACTTCACTGCAGAAAGAAGAAGAGGAAAACCTCACATCAAGGGAACTTAATCTGGGGAGTAAAACTGGTGGTAAGCAATAATAATACTAGTAATAACCCTGTTAATGCCTACTATGGTTATTATAGCATTTAATCTTACATTAAAAGCATAATTTAGACGTCCTTAATTTGATTTTCGGGTCAGTGTCAGTTATTAGAGTGAGCTCGCTTTTTTCATTTTAGTTCTTAGTTGTTAGGTTTTAGTTTTAGAATATTATATTATAATATAACAAACTCGGGATCTCGCAAAACAAACTCGGGATCTCGCAAAACAAACTCGGGATCTCGCAAAAGTTTTGCGAGATCTCGCAAAAGTTGAATTCCAACAATGGCGGCAGCTACTTAGTTGTAATATTACTCTTTCTGGGTCACAAAATACACTTTTAAGATATTTTGAGGCGTGAATGTAGTTGTGTAATTGTCAGATACCTGCTCGGTTTACAAGACATCACATATTTGCAAAAGTGCTCTGACGTTTTTGGAGATCTGACACCCACCATCTCGAAGCTAATGGGAGGTCGAGATCTACTACATCCGGGAGGAACACCGCTTTCCCGGCACATCGTGCCTCGACCTCCCGGTCGGCTTCGAGCTGGCGGCCTACGAAGAATGCGGCTAAAACTTTTGCGAGATTAAGACGGACTTTTGCGAGATCTCGCAAAAGTCCGTCTTCATTTTTTTTCTCCCATGTCCCCTGCGGGGCTCCGTACCAAACAGATATTACAACTTTTAAAAAGCAGACACGGACAAAGACATTTCAGTCTTAGTAAACATATGCGAGGAAGTCTGTTTATTTTGGTTATGTTAAAAATTGGCCAAAATGACTAAAGATGTGCACAAGATGTGCCCAGATCAGTAGGAGAGGTGTTCCAAATAACAGCACCACAGAAACTGAGGCACACTTGGGTCTCAATCTACGATCAGTTGAAAGATCTGCAGCTGATGACTTGAGTGATCTGACTGGTATTTGAACAGTGAGCAAGTCAAAGATGTAGTAGGAGGTCAAACCATAGAGTGCTTTGGGAACTAATACAATCATTTTATATTGCACTGGAAGCCAATGAAGTGATCCTGATACTGGGGTAATAGAGTCAGATCTCTGCATAAGCACTCCGACTGGTACATTTTGAATGTGCTGGAGTCGTCTTACTGATGATTTGGAGTGTACAGAAAATAGAGCATATAATGATCTAACCTGCTTGATATCAAAGCATAGTCTATGCTTTGATATCAAGCAAACTGTTTAAAGTTAATAATGTGTACTTTATTAATCCTGTAAGAAATTGTTTAGCCCTCTGCATTTAACCCACTAACTCAGTGGGCAGCTAACAATTCAACGCCCGGGGAGCAGTGTGTAGGTATCTTAGGCGAGCTGTTCGATGGATTTGAACCTCCAACTTTTTGATCATGGGGCGAACACTCTACCTACTGAGCTATCTCTGCCCTTCTTCACTGAACCCACTTCATTTTAGAAAAGGCAATGATAGATATTCTGTCTCTGACTTTTTTGGACCAACAGCAAATGTTTCTGTCTTCAATCTGTTTAGTTCTAAAAGGTTGTGAATCATTCAGTGATTAATGCCATCAGTGCAGCTCATTACTTTCTGAATAGAGGTCAGATCATCAGAGGAAAACTGATAAGTATTATGTGCACAAGAAGAGTAGGATATGTTATGATTCTTACCAAGTGGGAGCATGTAAATGTTAAAGAGTAATGGACCCAAAGGATCGAGCCTTGAGGAACACCAGATTGAATTTTTATTTGTGCAAATATTAAACCGCTAATAGACACACAAAAGCCCCTCAAGTCTTCAGTATGATGAGAGCCAACCATCAACCCACCTGTTAAACCAACAGAGCCATGAAGCCTTTGAATTAAAATGTCCCGCTCCATAGTGTCAAAGGCAGCACTGAGACTGAGCAGCACTCAGTCTGCTGTTTCTGTGCTGTGATTGGATCTGAAACCTCCATGGAAAAGTAAAGACTGCGACATGTAAGATATTCATTTAGTTACTTGTAATAAAATGTTTTCAATTTTTGATGAGGAATAAAAGATTAGAAATAAGTCTATAATTATTAAACACCAATGAGTCCAAGTTATTTTTTGTGATTAGTTGTGTGATTACAGCACATTCAAGAGAAACAGGGAGAATGTTCTCCAAGTCCCTGTGTTGGTTTCCTCCAGTATCCTATCCTATAAAGTTTGACAGGAACCTTTGGCTAAAATAGGACTTTTTGTCTAAACTGCTTTGATTGGTCAGTGAGACTTGCAAAGTGTGCAAACATGACTGCGTTACATTAATAAAAGCACTGATACAGTGTTAAAGCCAACTGTACTCAGCAATAAATCCTAGGATATCCTGTGAGCCCTGAACTCAGGTCAGGGTTCAGACTGGGGCAGTATACATGAAAAACTTTCTATTTCAAAGAAAGAAGAAGTCGATCTCTACAAACAGCTTATTTTGCAAATTTACCTCCTCAAAATTCAGCAGTTCTTTCATTCTTGAGAATACAACGTTCTCAAAACAAAAGCTGATGACCCTTCTACTGATGCCCAATTTAACACAGTAATATTCTTAATATCATTAGGGTACGGGTGATGATGCTGACCTCAGAAACTGAAGTTATAAGTTTAGCTACAATCATTGTGAGGTCTGTTTACACAATAATGGATTACATGTTACATAATGTTGCTTTTGAGGGGGGGAAATGTCCCAGCTGGCCAGAACTAAGACCAACATGTAGAATAACAGAGGTAAAGCCTGCACTACCATTACACACACAAAGCTATCCAAGTAAGGCAAGGCAAGGCAAGGCAAGTTTATTTGTATAGCACAATTCAACAACAAGGTGATTCAAAGTGCTTTACAGAGACATTAGAAACAAGAACAAATAAAAAGCATGATTTAAAATTGAATAAAACAAGCAAATAAACTAACTAACTAATTAACAAACAAACAAACAACAGTATATAAAATCAAAACAGATAAAATCAGAACATAAAAGTAATATGATTATTGCTTAGACATAACCTTTCAGGAAGAGAACAGAAGTAATCATGTCCCAAAAACCACAGAGAGACTGTGTTGATTTTTGAGATCAAAGAAGAAAATGTTTATATCAGCTGAAGTGTTTAACTCTTCAACATATGTGGCAACATGATTCGACTGTATCACATGCAGAGTAATCTGTTAAATTCACCAAATCTCCCCAGGCCACTGCGGCTCCAGCATTCAAACTGAGCATCTTCTGAAGCTAGCAAGAATTTGTAAACCCTCATGAAATAGGCCATTCAGGTAAGTATCTGTTTTACATTAAGCTAATTTAAGTTTATTTTGGACTGATCATTCATAAGAGATAACATTATGCTTTGAGTGAGTCAATATGACCCTCTGTCTCACTCTAATATTGGTATAATATTTGTACATCATGGCAGCTGTACTACTTCTCCATCACTGCACATGAAGCTTCAGATAAATGTTGAGTTTTAAAACATTAACACTCTGATGCTGTTACTGGTGGAGAAGCAGCAAACCTCACTGCTGTGCTATCTTACAGTTTCTGTCTAACTGCTGAGCTGGAAAACCTTCATTGACCAGGATGTGCGGTCATGTAGAGAGACTGGTTTTAGGTGAGTTAAAGGGGGGGGGGTGAAAGAGGTCTGTGTGACTGGTCATGTCTAAAGAAGCTGCAGCTACTTTCAGCTTATTCACAAAAGGTCACCACAGCAGGTAGTTTGGTGTATTTATGCACTGGATCCCCTCTTTGCACAGCCCCACAGGAATTTGTGTCTCCTTTCAAGATCAAAGGAAAATTATTAGTGCTTTATCCCAACAAATTTAGTTTTTGAATCATTACCAAAGCATAAAATAATACATTAAAAAACTATAAAATAAAGTTTTGTAAACTACAAACATGTAGAGTCACGGGTGGAAAAGAAAATCCCACTGCTGTTATGTATTTTATCAATGAAGGGTAACAGCGTTGAACACAGAATAAAACATGATGATTTATATAATTAAGATATAAAAATGAACAAAAAATAATTCAATGTCAAAATGGCTGTGTTAGTGTTAGAGTGACGATTCGGGAGCAGTTTACATTGTTGAAAATCCTTAAATGGCCAACATCATCTTCAAGCTTTAGATATGAATGTTTTGCATGTAGTCATTGATTTAAGAACAAAGCTGTAAGTAGCCTGATGTATTTCTTTTTCTTTGTTCACCGTGAAACACTGAAAAAGCAAAAATACATCAGACATCAATTTAACTCCTGTTGGGTTGAGAAGGCTGAGCTGTGAAATTTATGTTTTTAAAATATTCAACACATGGGTAGCACCGGCCATATTCTTTATAGAGAAAAATAATTACAGAGAAATTGGAAAAATTCAGTTCTTCACTGAAATTCTTGTGTTCTCAAGTTGAATGAACAACAGTTTTACCATTTATGATGTAGAATTTTACATGGACACACTGATGCATCGTTTTGATTCTTCCCTCTAGTCTCTTTTCTCTTCATGACATCTTCACCTGTTGCAGGTTGGTCCATTCTCCCATGTAACAAATTCCTGTTTTTGTTCTGTGGGAAATATTTGGATTTTGAATCTTTGTTATATCTCTCTGACAGATGGTCAGATCAGACTAGCTGGGTCTGGGTCCACTCAGTGCTCTGGAAGAGTTGAAATCTATCACAGTGGCTCATGGGGAACAGTCTGTGATGATGACTGGGACATTAATGATGCTCAGGTGGTCTGCAGACAGCTGGGCTGTGGGGCAGCAGTAAATGTCTATCAATCAGCTCACTTTGGTGAAGGTACAGGACAAATCTGGCTTGATAATGTGGCCTGTTCAGGAACTGAAAGTTCTCTAACCACATGTCAACACAGAGGATTTGGGAAACATAACTGTGGACATGGTGAAGATGCTGGTGTCACATGTTCAGGTGAGACGAAAATTTTGTGGTTGGTTCAAGCTTAACACATGAATATGTATCTTTGGACATTTCTTTGAAGCTACTTTAGTCATTGATGCTACAAAATGTCCTAACTCTTCTGTTTTGGTAAATCCAAATCACATTTTCTGACAATCTGATATTATGATTCTAATTATTTTTGGCTTAAAAACAAAATAGACAAAAAAGCAGAGCTCATCTCCAAATGATACAAGTAAACAACTCAGCTAGACTCTTTTTCATTGCTGAGTCCCAAAGATTTTGTTTTTACGGGTAGAGTGTCTGAAGCCATGCATGCAGTGGTTAAGACTGTTGCTTCACAGCGTGAAGATCCTAGTCTGGGTCTTCTCTGTGTGGAGTTTGCATGTTCTCCCCAAGTATTCTAGCTTCCCCAGTCCAAGGTTAAGACATCCATGTGGTTAGATTAATTGGTGATTCTAAACTGACCATGTGTGTAAATGTGTGAATGGTTGGATGAGTTAGCCTCGCGGCAGACTGGTGACCTGTCGAGGTTGCTGCCTGGCTCCTTTTCTATGACAGCTTGTATAGGATAGAGCCCCACTGCAACTCAGAAATGAAAGAAAATCGATGGATGTTTTACCTGCATATGTTACATTCGAGTTTGAATGTTTTTATTCTTAGTTGAGACAGGTTGTAGCAACATTAACTGTATATTCAGTTTGTGTTACTGTCCGTATGTTGTTCCATGGCTCTGACTGTTACACCTGCTAACTCGGAATTTCTCTCTTAATGTGCAACAAAGGACCACCTGTTCGTTTTGCATTTGTTTTAGTTGAGCAAATTCTGCAGGCCTCTCCTGTACATATAGATTTGATCATTTCCATGTGTTTTGTGTGTAAAACATTGAAACTCTGTTAATCTTCTCTAATTTTTTCATAGTTGGACAGATAAGATTAGTTGGATCAACTCAGTGCTCTGGAAGAGTTGAAATCTATCACAGAGGCTCCTGGGGAACAGTGTGTGATGACAGCTGGGACTTAAATGATGCAAAAGTGGTCTGCAGACAGCTGGGCTGTGGGGCAGCAGTAAATTTCTATCGATCAGCTCACTTTGGTGAAGGTACAGGACAGATTTGGCTTGACGAAGTGGCCTGTTCAGGAACTGAAAGCTTTCTAACCGCATGTCAGCACAGTGGTTTGGGGAAACATGACTGTGGACATGGTGAGGATGCTGGCGTTGCCTGTTTAGGTGAGAAAAAAGATTCATTTATAAATACTTAATAAGGTATAGATGGTCATCACTTTAGATGTCACACAAAATACTGAAGTAACAACTAATCACTGCTTGAATTAACCATGAACTAAAGATATTAGATATTAGATATTAAATGTTGTAATCATTCAATCTTTCTAGAAGAAAATCCAAGCCAAAGGTGTGCGTGAGAGTCTAAATGTTCAAAAACTTTCATTTCTTACATTATTTTAAAAAAATGCATTTTTCTGCTTATTGTGACTACATGCTCACTATTTGCCTCTTTTAATTTTAAAAATGAAAATGAAGATGTTATACATTCAACTCTATGTTGTTTTGCTTTTCAACAGACAAACCAAAACCCAGGATCTCCATTAGTCCTTCTGGTCAAGTTACCTGGGGTCAGAATGTCGCCATCACGTGTTCGATCACAGCTGATCAGTTAAGTGGAGCATTTATCTTCACAAAGACCTCAGGCTCATTCAGCAGGAGAATAACATCAAGCAGAAACTCTGCTACCCTCAGTATCTCTAATGTAAACCTTGACAATGAGGGATCCTACCAGTGTCAGTTTCAGAGGGATTTGATTCCAGACTCCAACGCCCCTCTAAGTGATTCTGTGAGACTCTCAGTGACAGGTAACTTTTGATAAAATTTATACAATTTAATTTAATATAATTTTAATGTAATTCCTAATGACAAGTTCCTTCTTTAGTTTAAAGGAAATATGAACTTTTCACATATATTATTTTTCAGTCAACCTCCCAAAGCCCAGAATCACCAAGAATATTATTGGTGCAGTCACCTGGGGCCAAACTGTGAGCATCACTTGTTCAATCTCAACTCAGCATTTAGGTGGAACATTCACTCTGCAGCAGACCTCAGGCTCATTCAGGAAAAGCCAAACATCGAGTACAAACTCTGCTACCTTTAATATCCCTCAAGTGACCTTCAGTAATGAGGGATCGTATCAGTGTCAGTATCAGACAAGAGTTTCAAGTCGAGACTTCAATCCCTCAAAGTGATTCAATCAGACTCTCTGTTACAGTAAGAGGACTTTGTTGTCTTTTTCTTTCATCATCTCAAATATTATTAAACAACAATTTGAATATAGAGCTAACCTCAGAAAGCATATTATTTTGTTTTTGTTTTTTTTCAGTGATCCTCCCAAGCCAGCATCTCATGATTCTGTGGGATGTGACCTGGGCAACTGTTAGATCACTTGTTCAATCTCTCAGCATTTAGTGGACATTCACTCTGCAGCAGACTCAGCTCATTCAGGAAAGCAAACATCGAGTACAACTCTGTACCTTAATCCCTCAAGTGACCTTCAGTAATGAGGGATCGTACCAGTGTCAGTATCAGACAAGAGTTTCAGGTCGAGACTTCAGATCCCCACAGAGTGACCCTGTCAGAGTTTCTGTTACTGGTAAGAGACAAAGATATTTCCTTTTTTGTTTTCTGTTAACTTTAAATAAAAGTTCAGTTGAAACCAAGTTGGAATGTAAAGTCATACCTTTCCTGAAAGGAAACACTCACTATGTTATTTATTTATTCTTCAGTGATCCTCCCAAAGCCCAGCATCTCTAAGAGGCCAGCTGGAGACTTGACCTGGGGTCAAGATGTTAGTGTCACTTGTTCAATCTCCACTCAGCATTTAGGTGGAACATTCACTCTGCAGCAGACCTCAGGCTCATTCAGGAAAAGCCAAACATCGAGTACAAACTCTGCTACCTTTAATATCCCTCAAGTGACCTTCAGTAATGAGGGATCGTACCAGTGTCAGTATCAGACAAGAGTTTCAAGTCGAGACTTCAACTCCCCTCAAAGTGATTCAATCAGACTCTCTGTTACAGGTAAGGAGGAACTTTAGTTGGTCTTTTTCTTTTCATCATCTCAAATAGATTAATTAAAACAACAACAATTTGAAATATAGAGCTAAACCTCAGAAAGGCAAATATATGATTTTGTGTTTTGTGTTTTGTATTTCAGTGATCCTCCCCAAGCCCAGCATCTCCATGATTCCTGTGGGGAATGTGACCTGGGGCCAAACTGTTAGCATCACTTGTTCAATCTCCACTCAGCATTTAGGTGGAACATTCACTCTGCAGCAGAGCTCAGGCTCATTCAGGAAAAGCCAAACATCGAGTACAAACTCTGTACCTTAACATGCTCAAGTGACCTTCAGTAATGAGGGATCGTACCAGTGTCAGTATCAGACAAGAGTTTCAAGTCGAGACTTCAGATCCCCACAGAGTGACCCTGTCAGAGTTTCTGTTACTGGTAAGAGACAAAGATATTTCCTTTTTTGTTACCTTTAAATAAACGTTAAATTGAAAGCAAGCTAAAACATAAACTCATACCTTTCCTCAAAGGAAACACTCACTAATTTATTTATTTATTCTTCAGTAATCCTCCCAAAGCCCACCATCTCCAAGAGTCCAGTTGGAGTGTTGACCTGGGGTCAAGATGTTAGCATCACTTGTTCAATCTCAACTCAGCATTTAGGTGGAACATTCACTCTGCAGCAGACCTCAGGCTCATTCAGGAAAAGCCAAACATCGAGTACAAACTCTGTTACCTTTAATATCCCTCAAGTGACCTTCAGTAATGAGGGATCGTACCAGTGTCAGTATCAGACAAGGATTTCAAGCAGAGACTTCAGCTCCCGTCAAAGTGATTCTGTTAGAATCTCTGCTACTGGTAAGAACTGAAATGTGAAATTTTCTATTTGGGCAGACTGCTGATGAAATGTTAAAGAAGTTGTAAGTCAGCTTCTATCAGCCTACAAGACTATAAGTGCACTTGATCCACTCATTTGTCAGAATGATTTGCAAGGTTTCAATTAGTTGGATTTTCTGAAAGAAAACAATAGCATGGAATTTGGCTAAATACAGGGTAAATTTACATTTAGTAACATTGGCTTGACAGTCGAAAGGGAAAATATATTTTCCAATCATTGTTACAATGTGTATTCATGTAGTTCACAAAGGCAATGAAAGAAGCTAGGAAGATATCACTTTTCTCACAGACCACTATTCGGTTATTTCTCAGTGATCCTCCCCAAGCCCAGCATCTCCATGATTCCTGTGGGGAATGTGACCTGGGGCCAAGATGTTAGCATCACTTGTTCAATCTCCACTCAGCATTTAGGTGGAACATTCACTCTGCAGCAGACCTCAGGCTCATTCAGGAAGAGCCAAACATCGAGTACAAACTCTGCTACCTTTAATATCCCTCAAGTGACCTTCAGTAATGAGGGATCGTACCAGTGTCAGTATCAGACAAGATTTCAAGCAGAGACTTCAGCTCCCCTCAAAGTGATTCTGTTAGAATCTCTGCTACTGGTAAGAACTGAAATGTGAAATTTTCTATTTGGGCAGACTGCTGATGAAATGTTAAAGAAGTTGTAAGTCAGCTTCTATCAGCCTACAAGACTATAAGTGCACTTGATCCACTCATTTGTCAGAATGATTTGCAAGGTTTCAATTAGTTGGATTTTCTGAAAGAAAACAATAGCATGGAATTTGGCTAAATACAGGGTAAATTTACATTTAGTAACATTGGCTGGACAGTCGAAAGGGAAAATATATTTTCCATCATTGTTTCAATGTGTATTCATGTAGTTCACAAAGGCAATGAAAGAAGCTAGGAAGATATCACTTTTCTCACAGACCACTATTCGGTTATTTCTCAGTGATCCTCCCCAAGCCCAGCATCTCCATGATTCCTGTGGGGAATGTGACCTGGGGCCAAGACGTTAGCATCACTTGTTCAATCTCCACTCAGCATTTAGGTGGAACATTCACTCTGCAGCAGACCTCAGGCTCATTCAGGAAGAGCCAAACATCGAGTACAAACTCTGTTACCTTTAATATCCCTCAAGTGACCTTCAGTAATGAGGGATCGTACCAGTGTCAGTATCAGACAAGAGTTTCAAGTCGAGACTTCAGATCCCCACAGAGTGACCCTGTCAGAGTTTCTGTTACTGGTAAGAGACAAAGATATTTCCTTTTTTGTTTTCTGTTAACTTTAAATAAAAGTTCAGTTGAAACCAAGTTGGAATGTAAAGTCATACCTTTCCTGAAAGGAAACACTCACTATGTTATTTATTTATTCTTCAGTGATCCTCCCAAAGCCCAGCATCTCTAAGAGGCCAGCTGGAGACTTGACCTGGGGTCAAGATGTTAGTGTCACTTGTTCAATCTCAACTCAGCATTTAGGTGGAACATTCACTCTGCAGCAGACCTCAGGCTCATTCAGGAAAAGCCAAACATCGAGTACAAACTCTGCTACCTTTAATATCCCTCAAGTGACCTTCAGTAATGAGGGATCGTACCAGTGTCAGTATCAGACAAGAGTTTCAGGTCGAGAATTCAGATCCCCTCAAAGTGATTCAATCAGACTCTCTGTTACAGGTAAGGAGGAACTTTAGTTGGTCTTTTTCTTTTCATCATCTCAAATAGATTAATTAAAACAACAACAATTTGAAATATAGAGCTAAACCTCAGAAAGGCAAATATATGATTTTGTGTTTCAGTGATCCTCCCCAAGCCCAGCATCTCCATGATTCCTGTGGGGAATGTGACCTGGGGCCAAACTGTTAGCATCACTTGTTCAATCTCCACTCAGCATTTAGGTGGAACATTCACTCTGCAGCAGAGCTCAGGCTCATTCAGGAAAAGCCAAACATCGAGTACAAACTCTGCTACCTTTAATATCCCTCAAGTGACCTTCAGTAATGAGGGATCGTACCAGTGTCAGTATCAGACAAGGATTTCAAGCAGAGACTTCAGCTCCCGTCAAAGTGATTCTGTTAGAATCTCTGCTACTGGTAAGAACTGAAATGTGAAATTTTCTATTTGGGCAGACTGCTGATGAAATGTTAAAGAAGTTGTAAGTCAGCTTCTATCAGCCTACAAGACTATAAGTGCACTTGATCCACTCATTTGTCAGAATGATTTGCAAGGTTTCAATTAGTTGGATTTTCTGAAAGAAAACAATAGCATGGAATTTGGCTAAATACAGGGTAAATTTACATTTAGTAACATTGGCTGGACAGTCGAAAGGGAAAATATATTTTCCAATCATTGTTACAATGTGTATTCATGTAGTTCACAAAGGCAATGAAAGAAGCTAGGAAGATATCACTTTTCTCACAGACCACTATTCGGTTATTTCTCAGTGATCCTCCCCAAGCCCAGCATCTCCATGATTCCTGTGGGGAATGTGACCTGGGGCCAAGACGTTAGCATCACTTGTTCAATCTCCACTCAGCATTTAGGTGGAACATTCACTCTGCAGCAGACCTCAGGCTCATTCAGGAAAAGCCAAACATCGAGTACAAACTCTGTTACCTTTAATATCCCTCAAGTGACCTTCAGTAATGAGGGATCGTACCAGTGTCAGTATCAGACAAGAGTTTCAAGTCGAGACTTCAGATCCCCACAGAGTGACCCTGTCAGAGTTTCTGTTACTGGTAAGAGACAAAGATATTTCCTTTTTTGTTACCTTTAAATAAAGGTTAAATTGAAAGCAAGCTAAAACATAAACTCATACCTTTCCTCAAAGGAAACACTCACTAATTTATTTATTTATTCTTCAGTAATCCTCCCAAAGCCCACCATCTCCAAGAGTCCAGTTGGAGTGTTGACCTGGGGTCAAGATGTTAGCATCACTTGTTCAATCTCAACTCAGCATTTAGGTGGAACATTCACTCTGCAGCAGACCTCAGGCTCATTCAGGAAAAGCCAAACATCGAGTACAAACTCTGCTACCTTTAATATCCCTCAAGTGACCTTCAGTAATGAGGGATCGTATCAGTGTCAGTATCAGACAAGAGTTTCAGGTCAAGACTTCAGCTCCCCTCAAAGTGATTCTGTTAGAATCTCTGCTACTGGTAAGAACTGAAATGTGAAATTTTCTATTTGGGCAGACTGCTGATGAAATGTTAAAGAAGTTGTAAGTCAGCTTCTATCAGCCTACAAGACTATAAGTGCACTTGATCAGCAGAGTGAAGCTGACCCCCCACCCACTTGAAACGTAAAGGCAAATAGGCGGAGCGGTTAGTGCTACGTTTGTCCAGATTTGTGCAGGTAAAATTAGCGTTTGTGCTGCTACGGTTTCCGAGATATTAAACTTTATTTTATAGGTCATTCAAAGGTCACCATCCCCCCAGACTGCTCCAAAACGGGCCAAAGTGGTCTACTTTTTTAGTGCTACGTTTGTGCTGGTTTGTGCAGGTAAAATTTGCGTTTGTGCTGCTTCTGTTTTAAAGATATTAATGAAAATGAAAAGGTCAACCAGCCCCCCCACATTACCCAAATCCAACAAAAGTGGTATCAAACGTTCGTGCTACGTTTGTGCTGCAAAGATTTTCGTTTGTGCTGCTATCATTTTAAAGATATTAATAACAATTTCTAGAGGTCATCAGAGGTCAACCAGCCCCCCCACATTAATTAAATCAAACAAAATGGCTGTCAATCAACTGTGCTACGTTTGTGCTGGTTTGTGCTGCTAAAATTTTCGTTTGTGCTGCTTCTGTTTTAAAGATATTAATGAAAATGTAAAGGTCAAAAGGTCAACCAGCCCCCCCACATTACCCAAATCCAACAAAAGTGGTATCAAACGTTTGTGCTACGTTTGTGCTGGTTTGTGCTGCAGAAATTTTTGTTTGTGCCATTATTTTAAAGATATTAACAAAAATTTCTAGAGGTCAACCAGCCCCCCATATTAATGGAATCAAACAAAATGGATGTCAAACGTTTGTGCTGGTTTGTGCTGCAAAAATGTTTGTTTGTGCTGCTAACATTTTAAAATGTTTAATAAAATAACATCTTGATGCGTGCTTAATCATCCAGGTAAGTAAATCCCAAAAGGTTGATTCTGTTCATCTGGACATTTTCAGTTGGAGAAACGTTTCGTCACTCATCCAAGTGACTTCTTCAGTCTCAGCTGACTGTAGGTTTCCCCAACCTTATAAACAGTACATTTGCATAGTGAAGAAAACTAGCGCCACTGAATGAACAATGTGCCGGGGGGTTAATTCCATGATTGTTAGTATGCAAATTCTTATGACCATTGATCAATGACAACTAATCAAAGCCTATTGATCAATGGCCATGAGTACCATTCACAGAAAGTGGGGAATGGCTACAATCACAGCATTGTAGGATGGCGAAAGATGTACCCTTGGGCCCCCCTTCTCGATCCAGAGATGGTCAGCATCCTGACAGCCCGATGGACGAAGCTGTCTCTCAGTCTGCTGGTTCTGCCCCGGAGGCTCTTCAGTATCCTTCCTGATGGCAGCAAACTGAAGACGCTGTTGAAGGGATGAGTGGAGTCACCTGTAATGGAGACGACCTTCCAGATGAGGCAGGTGCAGTAGATCTCCTGGGGAGGGAGGCAAGAGAGGTCCCCACAATGCTCTCGGCTGCTCTCACTACCCGTTGTCATTTTTTCCTGCAGAACCCAATGCAGGAGTCATACCACACAGTGATGCAGCTGGTGAGGATACTCTCAACTGTGCCTCTGTAAAAGGTGCTCATAATGGGGGTTGAATCTCTTGTGCTTCTCAGTTTGCAGAGGAAGTAGAGTCACTGTTGGTCTTCTCCACATTCAGGGACATTCAGGGACAGGTTGTTGTTGCTGTACCACTCTGGCAGATGGTTAACTTCACCCCTGTAGTAGATCTCGTCGTGGGTCAGCAGAGTGAAGAGAAGGGAGCTCAACACACATCCTTGGGGAGCCCCCGTATTCCGTGTTCTTGGGCTGGAGGTGTTGCTGTTGACCCGTACTGTCTGCTGTCTTCCTGTCAAGAAATCTAGCAGCCCGTTATACAGCAAGGTGCTGATCCCCAGCAGATCCAGTTTGTGAATGAGTTGCTGGGGAATGATGGTGTTGAATGCTGAACTGAAGTCTATGAACAGCACTCTGGCATATGAGTCTCTAGTGTTCAGATGTGTGAGGGCTGAGTGAGGGGCAGTTGAAATTCCATCATCGGTTGAGCGTTTTGACCGGTATGCGAACTGAAATGGATCCAGGTTGGGGGAAAGCAATAATTTGATTTGATGCATGACTAACCGTTCAAAGCACTTAACTTAATAATGATGGAGGTGAGTTTGACAGGACGGTAGTCCTTAAAGCAGGAGATAGATGACTTCTTGGGTTCAGTAATGATGGTGGAGGGATCTCCACACACTGTCTGGGGATTGTGTCACCACGGTCTGTAGAGTGGGCTTGTAGTCTGTGATGGTTTGTATTCCTTGCCACTGCCTCCAAGTATCTCTGCTGTCGCTGAAGCTTTGCTGTAGCTGATGCCACGTGACAGGTTTGCCCTTGCTGTTCTTAGACTCACCTAATTCCCGGCTCTGAAGGCTTGCATTTTTCAACTTTAGGAGCATTTAAACCTGACCTGTGAGCCATGGTTTCTGATTGGCCCAGACAGTGATAGTCCTGGTCTCTGTGACATCATCGATGCATTTTGGGATGTAGGCAGTGACAGTTTCTGTATATTCCTGAAAGTCTGTGGTGTTGTCGTGTGTGGCGGCCTGTGGTGGAAAAGCAGTGCCTCTGAGGACCCTTCTGGCCACACCTGTACCTGCTTACGAACTGGTTTGGTGACTTTGACCAGGGGCCTGTGGGAACCCATGGCACACCTAGATTTCTGCCTGTACTGACCCTTATGCAAAATAGGTGGAATTAAGACAGTTCCAAAAGCAAACACAACTGATCAGTGCTGAGAGTGGTCCTGTTGCTGAGGTTGGGATGATCCTGTAATCTCTTATGAACGACCTCCAACGCTTCTATGACTGGGATGCAAGTGAAGACAGATGTAACATCTCTCTCTCACTGTACATGTACTGTTTATAAAATTAGGGAAACATAACCTGCACAAACAAAATAATTTGCAGGACAAATGTTTGACATCAATTTTGTTCGATTTGAAGAAGGTAGGGGGGGCAACTTCACTCACGGGTGTTTATAAGGTTGGGGAAACCTGCAGTCAGCTGAGACTGAAGAAGTCACTTGGATGAGTGACGAAACGTTTCTCCAACTGAAAATGTCCAGATGAACAGAATCAACCTTTTGGGATTTACTTACCTGGATGATTAAGCACGCATCAAGACTTATTTTATTAAACATTTTAAAATGTTAGCAGCACAAACAAACATTTTTGCAGCACAAACCAGCACAAACGTTTGACATCCATTTTGTTTGATTCCATTAATATGGGGGGCTGGTTGACCTCTAGAAATTTTTGTTAATATCTTTAAAATAATGGCACAAACAAAAATTTCTGCAGCACAAACCAGCACAAACGTAGCACAAACGTTTGATACCACTTTTGTTGGATTTGGGTAATGTGGGGGGCTGGTTGACCTTTTGACCTTTACATTTTCATTAATATCTTTAAAACAGAAGCAGCACAAACGAAAATTTTAGCAGCACAAACCAGCACAAACGTAGCACAGTTGATTGACACCCATTTTGTTTGATTTAATTAATGTGGGGGGGCTGGTTGACCTCTGATGACCTCTAGAAATTGTTATTAATATCTTTAAAATGATAGCAGCACAAACGCAGCACAAACCAGCACAAACGTAGCACAAACGTTTGATACCACTTTTGTTGGATTTGGGTAATGTGGGGGGGCTGGTTGACCTTTACATTTTCATTAATATCTTTAAAACAGAAGCAGCACAAACGCAAATTTTACCTGCACAAACCAGCACAAACGTAGCACTAAAAAAGTAGACCATTTGGCCCGTTTGGAGCAGTCTGGGGGATGGTGACCTTTGAATGACCTATAAAATAAAGTTTAATATCTCGGAAACCGTAGCAGCACAAACGCTAATTTTACCTGCACAAATCTGCACAAACGTAGCACTAACCGCTCCGCCTATTTGCCTTTACGTTTCAAGTGGGTGGGGGGTCAGCTTCACTCTGCTCACTTGATCCACTCATTTGTCAGAATGATTTGCAAGGTTTCAATTAGTTGGATTTTCTGAAAGAAAACAATAGCATGGAATTTGGCTAAATACAGGGTAAATTTACATTTAGTAACATTGGCTGGACAGTCGAAAGGGAAAATATATTTTCCAATCATTGTTTCAATGTGTATTCATGTAGTTCACAAAGGCAATGAAAGAAGCTAGGAAGATATCACTTTCTCACAGACCACTATTCGGTTATTTCTCAGTGATCCTCCCCAAGCCCAGCATCTCCATGATTCCTGTGGGGAATGTGACCTGGGCCAAGACGTTAGCATCACTTGTTCAATCTCCACTCAGCATTTAGGTGGAACATTCACTCTGCAGCAGACCTCAGGCTCATTCAGGAAGAGCCAAACATCGAGTACAAACTCTGTTACCTTTAATATCCCTCAAGTAGGGCTGCCCCAAACGATTATTTTGATAGTCGACTAATCACCGATTATTTTTGCGATTAGTCGACTAATCAGATCATCATCCATTGGACGTAAAAGTACAGCTTATTGCACCAGCAGCATCTGCTCTTATATAACTATCATTAGCTTACAGCTTTAAGTGTTTAAGGTCTGTGCTAACTAAAATAAAGACAAGATGATAGTTTATTAAATTTTAATGAAATTTGCAGATTGTTTCGGTGAAGTTTAATAAACTCCTTGCTATCTAAAATATAACAGGACACTGGAGTATATTCTGGAGCATCTCACACTTCTGATAATCAGCTGTCTGCTTGACGTTTATTCAGCTGTGTAAAAACTATAACTTTAATCTCAGACAAACTGATTTACTCAGGAACAAATAAAACACTAAAAAAAAAAAAAGCCAAACAATAACATTTT